GTAAACCCAGGAGGCGGAGCTTGCAGTGAGCTGAGATCCGGCCACTGCACTCCAGCCTGGGCGACAGAGCGAGACTCCGTCTCAAAAAAAAAAAAAAAGAAAAAAGGAAAAAAATTCACTGAAACTGTGAAAGTGGTGCGATGGTATTCTACAGCATTTGGAAGGTATGTATAGAAATACTAACTGTAGCTGGGCATGGTAGCTCACTCCTGTAATCCCAGCACTTTGGGAGTCCGAGGCAGGCAGACCACTTGAGGTCAGGAGTTTGAGATCAGCATGGCCAACATGGTGAAACCCCATGTCTACTAAAAATACAAAAATGAGCTGGGCATGGTGGTGAGTGCCTGTAATCCAAGCTACTCAGCAGGCTGAGGCAGGAGAATCTCGTGAACCCGGGAGGCAGAGGTTGCAGTGAGCTGAGATCACCCACCCCATGGCACTCCAGCCTGGGCAATAAGAGGGAAACTCCATCGCAAAAGAAAAAAAAATAAATAACCAGAAACTGTAAAAGTGGTATGATGCTATTCTAGAGCATTCTAACTCTAAGATGAAGGTTCCAATACACATCGCTTCCACATATTCACAATTACCCACTTTTGAACGGATCCCAGGGGCAAAGATAAATCCTGTGATCTCAGCAAAACTCCACTCTGGAGATGGTGTGTGGGATGCCTTTAAGGATTTTATGAAAATGAAAGCACACTTGGAGAATCACAATAACACCAAGTCTATGAACTGTTACTGAAGGCACAAAAACAAATAACTGCAAATGTCAAGAAATAAAAATTCAGTTAACTGTAAATTTTAATATATTTTTTAAAAAACTGCTTTGATAAGAACTTTAAAATGACAAAAACCAAGCACAAATCACAATTTGTGGGATGAAGACAAAACTACATTTAGAGGAGAAATGAAAGCCTAACTCTGTTCATCTCACGAAACAGACAGGAAATTCTCTGTGCCACCTTGGGCTGCGTGTCTCCGTTCCTGACTGAAGGGCTGCAGATCAGACGGGCATGACCCTACGAAGGTGGTGACTTACCAGAGCTGGACTCACTTGGCAGAGTTCTGGGACCTCTCAGAGAACCAAGCAGTAGCTCCAGGGCTGTGCGTCTCTTCTGTGCACCCTCAGGAGCTTTTATGGACCTTTCTAACCCCACCCTTCCCTTCTCAATCACCAGCTTCCAATCAGAACGTGATACTTGATTAGATCTTGTAGTTCCACCCAGTTAATCCTGATTGAGTTTTCACCTTTCTTCTGCCTAACTGATTGAATTAGATACACATTTATGAAAATGAAAGAATCGATAATAGAGTAAAAGTCCAAAAGTCATTCGTTCATTTATTCTCCAAAGACTGATGAAGTTTGGCTAATAGATGACTTTCATAGTGATACAGGGAAGGGATTAATCTGTTCCTGATATTAGACAAAACAAAACAAAACAAAACTGAAGGTGTCCTTATTGGAGGATGTTTGACCGCAGAGAAATTATCAGAATGTTTCAGAGTTAAAACAGCTTGAAGAAGATAGTGATGTCATTCCCAAGAAAACAGAATAAAAAGCTGTGTATATTCAATGGTTGCCTGGGTTTTATGCTGTCTAACATAGCAGATCATACGCACATTCAAGTAGAAGAAAGGAACCACTGAGGGTGTGATCCATCTCAAGACTAAGTCAAGGCTTCACTGAAGGAAATCAGGAGCTTTTATGGACCTTTCTAACCCGACCCTGTGGGGTGACCAAGTGAGGTGGGGACTGAGAAGAATGGGTCGATGTGTTCTAATGGGACCCTGGAAGGGAACCAAGACTATATAAAATATGGCAATTATCTTGTGGGCATCTAGATGTCGGGACTGAAGGTCTTTTGTCTAGAGTGAGTTGATTGATGATTGATTGATTGACTGATTGATTGATTTTGAGACAGGGCTTTGTGTGTCACCCAGGCTGCAGTGCAGTGGCAAGATTTTGGCTCACTGCAGCCTCGACCTTCTGGGTTCAAGCAGTTCTCCCACCTCTGCCTCCCAAGTAGCTGGGATTACAGGCGCACTCCACCATGCCCACTAATTTTTGTAATTTTAGTCGTGATGGGGTTTCATCATGTTGGCCCGGCTGGTCTCGACCTCTTGACCTCAAGTGATCTGCCCATCTCAGCCTTCCAAAGTGCTGGGATTACAGGCTTGAGCCACCTCACCCAGCCTAGAGTGAGTTCAGAAATTAAAAGGGGAATCATCAAAAGAGACAGTGCAGACTCTTAAACCATAACATTGGCTTTGAGGACACGGGGCAGGCACAGTCTTGGCCCTACTAGAAGGTAAAGTGTGTTTATTCACAAAAATGATGGGCTCCGCTCAGAAAACCAGCTTGGGAAGATGGAATCTGAGAATGTGAGCTGGGGCACAGGCCAGAGAGGAGCAGTGTGGCCAGACCTGGGAAGGGAGACTTTGCCAAGCTGGGAGTCACGGAGGAAGAAACTGTGGGCTCTACAGGATGTGAGAGAGAAATGAATGAGGGTCCATATGTCCCTGTCATGGCGCTGTCATCTGGAAACCTTTCCTTTAGACTCAGGGATCTTCCCACAGTGAAACATTTCCCAGCACCATCAGCCCCAGTCATTTTCCAGGACCTTCATCCAAATCTTAATCTCACCGACTCCCTTCCCACTCCAGTTTGATAATTTATGTTTCCTCCTTCTTCGAGTCCTTTCCTGTCCCTAATATTGAACCTAGAGATTCTTATCAGGGTGTCACCATTAGGCCTACACAGAAAACTCAGGACTAGGCACAGTGGCTCATGCCTGTAACGTCAGCACTTTGGGAGGCCAAGGTAGGCGGATCACGAGGTCAGGAGACAGAGATGATTCTGACTAATACGGTGAAACCCCGTCTCTACTAAAAATACAAAAAATTCTCTGAGCGTAGTGGCAGGTGCCGGCACTCCCAGCTACTCAGAAGGCTGAGGCGGGAGAATCGCTTGAACCTGGGATGCGGAAGTTGCGGTGAGCTGAGATGGCGCCACTGTCCTCCACCCTGGGTGACAGCGTGACATTCTGTCTCAAAAAAGAACGAAAGAAAAAGCAAGCAAGCAAGAAAGGAAGAAACCAACCTCAGGCCTCTAATCCCAGCACTTTGGGAAGCCAAGAAAGGCAGAGTGCTAGAGCTCAGGAGTTTGTGAGGAACATGGGCAATGTGGTGAAACCCTGTCTCTAATAAAAATACACACTATTAGCCGGGGGTGGCAGTGTGCACCTGTAGGCCAAGCTGCCCAAGAAGTTAAGGCGGGAGGATCACCTGAGCCCAGTGGGGCTTCTGCTTCCCACGCCCCACTTTGTAAACCTGAGGCTGAGAGTGAGCTCAGCACCAAGAATGGTTGGGAGTATCTCTGTTGACTGAGCATCCACAAGGCACAACAGACGGCTGGTACCGAGCATCCCGGACCTCAGCTCTCCTTCATGGAGAATCTAAAGCACGTTGCTATTTTCCCCATTTTTAACCTGGTAAACCTGAGACTTGACCAGAGAAAAACCTGCCCGTGTTCTGGCAGCAGATGATTGGCAGACCCCTCAGGTGAGGGGCTCAGTGGAATCCCAAGGTGTTCAACAACCTAAATGTTGGAAAGAACTGACTGACTTCCCATTCCTGCCCATTTCAGGGGGCCCAGCAGCACCCCCAGGACCCCAGCAAGAATCCTGCACTCGGGGGCTTTTCTACCACGTCCTGTCGCCTGTTCTTCTCAAGGTGCTCATCTGCTGCCCAGCTCCGAGCAGCCTTTGAAGCCCATCTCAAGAAACGACCTGACCTATTCTCCAGTCCCACAATCCACACTGGGATTCCAAAGCTCCTACGAGGACCTTGCTCAGGTTCTCTAGAATATTCCTGAGCCTCTGTTTCCTCTCCCAGTCTAAGCTGATGGGGCCGGTGTCACTTTATGCATCCCAAGGACATCAGCCCATCTCTATTTTCCCCAATTTATATTGACCGATTTTGGTGAACATGGCAAGGCACAAAGCAGGGAGCTCCACAGCTGCTGCTCCGGACCTAAAGAGGCACCCTGGATTTCTGGGTGCTGACACTGCCTGGCTTGCAGAGGAAGACCTGACCCCTCTGGTCTTCCAAGGCTGCCAGGATAATGGCAGAGCCTAGGACAAGTCCCCAGTGCAGGGGCCATCCCTTCCCACGGCCCCCTGGCCCAGCCTTAGAGTTGACAAGGCTGCACCTGGAATGCAGTAGGTATTTTTTTGTCCAAGTCAGGTCTCTTCTTAGCCTTAGGTGAGGCTTTTTTTCAGGCGGGTGCTATGGAAGAACCCCAGGCCGTGGGCATCACTGCCGTGACCACATGGTATGCATGCGTGCGTGTGTGTGCGTGTGTGTGTGTGTGTGCAGCCACCTAGAAAGGTAAAACTCTACCTGTCAGAGCTAATTCCATGGAAGATAAAAGTATAACATCCCATGTCCCTGGGAGGACAACTTCCTCTAGGAGTCCAGCAAGAAGATGTGGGACCTGTGGACAAGAGGTCCCTGAGTAAAAGCCCTCATTTGAGGATAATGTGTAAAGTTGAACTTTAGACCCTGAGGACTCTATACCCTTCCCACAGGGTTGCAGTGGAGCCGGCACTGACTCCCAGGCACAATAGCCCAGAGAGATCTTGGGAGGGAGGTAAACCTGCTGGGGCCTCAGGGCTCAGAAAAAGCCCTGGACCTATCACCCAGTCACGCCTCTCCCACTCCCAAGTGTCTCTGGCCCTGGAACTGTCGGAGACCTCTGTGTCTTTCCCATGTGCTCCTCTTCTCCTTTCACTCAGACCTGCCTTTGCCAATGCTCCCTGCATTTGCCTCCATGTGGGGCCCCCTACCCCAGGCTCTGGCAGTGGCTGGGAAGCTAGAGGTTTTTGTGCCCACCTGGAGAAAGCCTCACTCAGCATGGGCCCATGTGGATTCTGCAATCTTTTCCTACACAGGGCCACCTACAGGTGTCATAGATGCATCTTCCCTAGAAGAGCCAATGGGGGTGGGTGAGGAATCTGCAATCACTCAAGCACCCCACATACAAATGAGAGCGAGGATCCCTGCAAGCACAGGCCCCGGGGTAGGTCCTGGCCCTTGTTGTTGCCTTCTGATCCCAGAGGCCTTGGGTTTGTGGTCATAGGAGCCCTACCTACTCCCTATGCACCCCCAGCCCAAGATAAACAAATTCCTGCAGATTCCCTGGTCCACGTACTTGAGATCCCCAGATCGTGCCGCTTCACTCCAGCCTCGGTGACAGAGCAAGACTCAGGGCCAAAAAAACAAAAATGTAGCCAAGCGTGGTGGCGGGCACTTGTAGTTTCAGCTATTCGGGAGGCTGAGGCAGGAGAATCGCTTGAATCCGGGAGGCAGAGGTTTCAGTGAGCTGAGATCGTGCCACTACACTCCAGCCTGAGCAACAGAGCAAGATTCCATCTCAAAAAAAAAAAAAAAAAGAAGAAAAGAAAATCAAAAGCACTAAGTTGTGTTTTTAATGAGATTCTGCCCCAGGAAGTCAGACATCCAAATGAAATTTCCTCATTTTTATCAGTTCCCTCCTGTTCTTTACTTCTCTTTACAAATCTATTACCTCCTCGCTTTGTTCTGTGGCTGATCAGTGGGTTAATACACACAAGATGCACACACAGGGCCTGGACATTCTATGTGGGCAATGAGTGTGAGTCACTCAAATAAAACCCCTTCTCAGGGTCCCTCCCTGCTAACCAGATGCTGAGACCCTGTTCAGTCCTAATGGGCAGATCCAGAAGAATCCATTTCTGACCATTAGCTGTGCTGGGAAAGAGCTTCGCTGCACAAGGCATGGCCCCTGCTTTGGAAGGGGACATTTACACCAGTGATTATCTGGATCCTCAGGGCATCACCAAGACATACCTGTCCTGATGGTGGGCAGTGGTCCTTCCTTAATTAAACTAATTGTGTCTTATAAAGATATCAAAATTCCCTTGTAGCAAAATGCTACCAATAATATAAAAATACGGCCGTGCACAGTGGCTCATGCCTGTAACAGTAGCACTTTGGGAGGCTGAGGCGGGTGGATCACAAGATCAAGGGATCGAGGCCATCCTAGCTAACACGGTGAAACCCTG